CATGTATCGAATCGCAACACTCATGCCAATACTCACCTCTAGTTATCAAACAATTTATTAAAAATAAAAACCACTGCCTCGGCTGCGTGCACCACGAATAAACCCAAAACACCAAACAATAACAGTATCCATACGATGTGATCTAGATGGACCTGGAGGTGGATCAGCCCCGATCCACATCAGTTAGATGATTAAAGATCCAATTCAGAGGAAAACACAGATTTCATTAAAAGGAACGAGAATGATCAGATCTTCCTTCATTATTAGAAGACTGACTAAGCTCTTCAGGCTGTTTTTAAAGAAACAGCCTGAAGAGACGACAACGACCTGGACTACAGAGAGGAGGTGGAGCAGCTGGAGGTGCAGAGATAACAGCCTGATCTTGAACATGGAAAAGAAGAAGGAGATCATGGTGGACTTCAGGAAGAACCGGCCTAACCACGCTCCACTGCTCATCAACAGCTCAGCTGTAGAGGTGGTCAGCAGCACCAAATTCCTGGGGGTGCACATCACAGACACCCTCACCTGGACTGGAAACACCACCTCACTGGTCTAAAGAGCCCAGAAGTGCTTGGACTTCCTGAGGAGGATGAAGAGAGCCCACCTGCCCCCACCCATCCTCACCACCTTCTCCAGAAGCTCCATAGAGAGCGTTCTGACCAGCTGTCTCACTGTGTGGTGTGGAGGCTGCAGTGCCTCAGACTGGAAGAAGGTGAAAACAGCAGAGAGGATCATGGGGGCTCCTCTTCCCTGCATTAAAGACATTTCATCCCAGCGCTGTGTCCCGAGCCCGTGACATCATCAATGACCCCTCAACCCCTCACCATGGACTGTTCTCCCTGCTGCCCTCTGGGAAGAGGCTTCACAGCATTCAATGAAGGTTCAGCAGGTTCTGCAGCAGCTTCTTCCCCACCACCATCAGACTGATGAAACTATAACTGGACTCTGCATCACACTGCATCATTATTTTGCATCACCAACATTAAACTTTTATGATTCCTTTAAATAGAACACAACTCAATGTTCTAATGCATTTCGCACCATATTTATTCCATATTATATGGAAAGGTTCAGTGCATTTATTCATTCATACAAACTGGTTTTCCTTTTCTCCTACACTGTTTACATGTTGATCACTGAAGCACTTTATAAAATGGAAATGTTAATTTCACTGCTAAGCTGCTCATTCACTGTTGAAAAGCTGTGTGCATCAAAATTTCGTTTTGTGTACACTCTGTGTATAGAAGATGACAAAGTCTAAATCCATCTGAGAACTGAATTCAACATATTATTATTAGACAGATTTTACAGATTAGCTATTATAAAAATCGCAGAATATCGTCTTTGTTAACGTATCTGGATAAATCGTATTGTGATCAGTGTAGGGAACATTAGTTATAAAAAGTACCTAGTAATAGTTAGTTCTCTATAAAATAACTGAGAAAGTTGCTGCTCGTTAAAAGTAACTCGTTATTAGCCAAAGTATAACTATAAAGTTATTTTTATGTTTTAAAATGTCAAATTTTAGTTCTGGACAGCTGCTGAAGTTTTTATGGATTCAGATACAGCGATGTCTTCACTTTGGGTCGCAGCTTTTTGCTTCAGCCCCCATCAGGATGGCGTTGGATTATTTAAGCTTCCTAAGGAACCTGAGCTGCTTTCAAAGAGGGTGAAGCAGGTCAGATGAGAAAAAACAGAGAGGGCAGAATGTTAGAGATTGAACTAACAGATCCTGCAGAGTGGGAGAATAGAGATAGAATGAAGCAGAATAATGAAAAAGGGGTCCCTATGTCCTCCAGCAGTCTAAGCCTATAGCAGCATAACTATAGAGATAGAATGAAGCAGAATGATGAATTCTCAGTCTCTTTTCTTCACATATCTTCCAAAACTTCTAAAACTGAATAATGGAACTGGTCAGATGATCTCTTAATGCAATCAGTGAAACTTTTACGTGAAGACAGGTGAGAAGGCAGACGATGGGACACACACACACTGGCACCATTTTGGTCATTTTCAGCAGGACGACCATAGATCAGAGATCTACCTGCAGCAGCAAAAAGAAGCCACGCCCACTGCTCTTCTTCTCTGGATTATGCATGTTTGTGTTCAAAGGGGATCAAAATAGGGTTTGAAGACGCTGATCTCATGTTCTTACCTTTTGGAATCCAGTTGCTCTTTTAGCTTGCTGTACATTTCAAGCACTACAAAAGAACAGAGCATAACGGACATAATTAGCTTGTTAGCTTAGCATGTGGCTCAGGAAATTAAACAAAGATCGACTCGATCATCAGACAGAGGATGGAGGAAGGGATGAAGGATGCGTTTGATCTGTGGGTTGCTCTGGTTTAGCTGCTGCATCAGCTTTTCTCATCGCCTGTTTGCTGCCAGGATGACGTCCTTCTTCCTTAATGGGGGGAACTTTTTCCATTTTCGTTTTGGAAATGGAAATTTGAAAAATTTTTTAATCATTTCAAAAGTTTTGAGAGTAACCTTGCTGTTTTATCGGATTTTTTTCCATTATTTTCATCACATTTTTTTTTTTATATTTATTTTTTTTTTTCAAAAATAAACCCTTTTTTTTACTCAGTTCATTTTCATATGGACTTTTATTAATTTCCCACTTTCTAAATCAGGTTTTCCTGATCTTATCTTCTTCTCCTCTGGGGGCGGAGCTTTCCTCTGCAGAGAGGAGCAAAGCCGCATTTCTATTGGTCTGCTGGACGTTAGCAACAGTTATCTGGCATCGGTGATTTATCACATCGTTTATCGTTATTGTGATACATTTTCTGGTCAAGTAAACAATTTAGATTTATTGTCTAAACAAATTAGAGTTAGTGATGAAATGGGGGAATTGTGAATAGTATTTATAATATTTTTCTTCTGATAAAATGTGGTAACGGAGGATGTTTGGTGATATAAATGAGTTCTGAGGAGGCCTGTTTGAAATGTTCAGGCGTAGAGTTTCTGCTGTGGCGCCGATTCACAGCTACAGTTATGGATGAATCTTTGACTATAGTCCAGCTAAACATGGGGATCAGATTTCCAGGCCTTAATGTCCAGGTCTGGTCACGAGCGAAGGAAGGGAAGAGAACGTATTCTAAAAAATAAAAAACGATTTAAAAAGAAAGCTGCCGATGAAACTGAATCTGAAATCTAAGAAGGTTGAATTTAGTGATTTCTGATGCAGATTTTCCATTTTTGTTTTTTCCACCTACACTTTCCTAACAAAGAGATGATGATACTGGAATCTGCTTTCTGGCAACAAAAACCTTTTGAACTCTGCCAGATTAAGCTGCTGAGACCCAACCCCTTGTTAACGAACCGACAGCCGATAATACGGTTGCCCAGGTAACCGGCCGAGGCAGAGCGCTATGGGGCGACTCATCACCTGTGAAAAAAGCTTTTAAATATCATTTTTCTCATGAAGGAGGAAGAGCAGATGAACCGTTAGATGATGGCTGCGGTCTGGGTCTAACCTGGTAAACAGAGCTGGAGCTTCTCCACCGTGGTGGCCATGTTCCTCTGCTGGATCCGACAGCGAATCACTTCCTCCGTCTGAGCTCTTACCTGGGGGGGGGCACAGTAGAGGAGGACAATGGAAGGAGGTCACCTAGCAGGTTAAAGAACGGTCATGTCCAGAGCAGAGATAATGAGCATGCATCCGTCATGACAGCACAACAAAAGGCACGGTTTGCTCTCCACACACGCAGGGACTTACATCCCTCCCTGCTTCCTGTAGTCTTCTGTTGGTGTCCGTCACTTGACCCTTTGAACACAAACAGACATCAGTTTGACAGCAGCGGTCCGAAATATCTTCACAGAGTAAATTTGGTGGCACTATTCCTCATTTCTTCAGACCCTCTGCAGCGCTCTCACAGCAGCTGCTCAGCCTCGTAATCAGCTCATTGTCCATGAGGGAGTAGGAACAAAGCAGGAGCTGAAGCCATGCTGCTCGCTGGGCCTTTCAGGGGCTTAATGGCTGCTGACAGCCTCGTTCTCACAGATTCAGTGACAAACTTCTCAATTCTGGGTCTGGATTTTTGAACTCTCAGCCACGACCTAATTGACCAGTCAGCTTTTCCAGGGATAAAGGATCCAATCATGGATGAATACTAACATCTCTGTTCCTCTGCTGAACAGAGGGGCCCGACCTTCTGGCGCTTTCAGGAGTCAGGTGTAGGACAGGACTTGGACACGGCGGCTGCTGTGTCTGCCGTCTGTTCATGGCGTGTTTTCGGAATAAAAACAGAAACACATCATCCAGCACCTTAAAACATCTTTGCTTTCTCCAAGTTCTCCCTCATTTGTTCTGTTTGGAAATGCTAATAAACTTGCTTGGATTACCTGCTTGGTCTGCAGCATCGGATTAGCCCCTAAATTCATGCATAGTAGTTTCATCAATGTGGGCATTTTAGGAGCAGGTTTTTCTCTGTCTTTCCCTCGCTGACCTCCTTCCATCAGCTTCTCCACTATCACAGCAACAGCTGTTCCTACATGTAAAATCCTCACCAACACAGACAGCCTGACCTTCCCCTCCTCACCATCAGTTTCTCTGCATCCGCGCGGACTTTAAGCAGCTCTGTGATGGCGTCCACAAAGCCTTGGTGGTGGAAGTTGCACATCTTTTCAATCTCTCTGTCATGGTTCCTTATCCTGGCGTCCAGCTTCTCCATGAAGCGTTTGTGGGCATTGGGCTGGTCATCGTAGATGGACCTGAAGGAGACACAGCAGCATGGGGGTGAGTGTTTGACAGGACCTTTAGCTTCGCCAGCTCCTCTCTGGCCGTAAAATAAGGTGTTCCGTAGCATAAGGCTCATTTATTTATTTTATTTTTATTTACGTGTTTATTTGAACAGGGACAGTGCACATTAATAAACATTTCTGTAAATGAGCCAGTGTTAGCTAAGTAGCTAAATTTCAACTGTAGTCCCTGGGCAAGGTTTAAAATGCCAACATAATAAAACAACAACATTAAAAATTAGTGCAAACAAT